GCAGTTTCTCCTGCTTTGCCAGAAGCCCAGCACCACCAACACCTCGTTCCTCAAGCTCCGTATCACAGCTGAGAATTGTCCCCCTCGTTTTTGCCCCCGAGCGCTCCAAAATGTGCATAAATGCAATTACCCAAAAGTAGGGCTAACAGCAGGGGGATGGTTTGCAGCTATCAGCAGTGAAATCATCACCAGGTGGGTAAACAGGACAAAGGAAATAAATTTACCCCACACCACCCAAATATTCTTTTCTTAGCACTCAATGAGGCTGACGTAGGTGGGTCAGCAGCTGCCTATCAGATTTGGCAGGGTCACCCAAGAGGAAACCAAGCAGAAAAGGTCTGGTCAGCTTTTGCCACGTTACTCACTTTGATGTTAGTCAATTTTTCCATGATGAGAGCTCCCTGTCCTCTCCCTTTTGCTGGAGTTTTGCAATTAAGCTGAAGGTAATCAGCAAGCCACACAGATGAGGGGCTGTGCTCATGGGGGTGGCTTGGGACACCACTGCGTGACACGGGGACCTGTGAAACCTTAGGGGCAGGAATAGAACCCAACAAAAAGGAAGAAAGAAGGTCTCACTGTGCCTGCCCAGGTTCCAGTGTCCCAGTCTGTCAGTGCCTGCTCTGACACTGCTGTTGCCTCCCTTCTTAAGCTGCAAAATCCGTGCTGGGCTCTGCACCTTGAGTTGTTCATGGCTCAGGTGTCACTTACCCCGATGTCCTTGGGTTCTGCTCATCCCTGCACCCTTGGGTTTATCCCACAAGCTCAGGCACTGCTCCACATCCTGAGGTGCCACACATCCCTGCGTGTCCTTGGCTCCTGTTCATCCCTGCATGCTCAGCTTCACCCTCCCATCCCTGGGTACCGCTCATCCCCACATCCAGAGGTGCCACACATCCCTGCGTGTCCTTGGCTCCTGCTCATCCCTACCTGCTCCCATCCTTGGGTACCACTCATCCCCTCATCCTGGGGTTCCTCCCCGTGCTGTGTCCCCGTGTCCTCACGCGCAGCCTGTCCCTGTCACAGGGCTCAGCGCTCAGCAGTGACCCTGGCGGGGCCATCCCTCCGCTGCCCCTGGGCTGAGCCGTTCCTGGCGCCGTGCCCCGGCCCCATTAGGCTGAGCACGGCCGCCAAATGGCCCCATCAATATTTCATGCGGCCCGAGCCCCGCCGGATAAGGCGCGGATAAAGCGCGGAGAAGGCGCGGATAAAGAGGAGAGAAGGCGCGGATAAAGAGGGGAGAAGGCGCGGATAAGGCGCTCATCAAGAGCGGAAAAAGCACGGATAAAGCGTGGATAAGGGGCGGGAAAAGAGCAGATAAGGCACGGATAAAGCGCGGATAAAGCGCGGAAAAAGCGCGGATAAAGCGCGGATAAGGGGCGGGAAAAGCGCGGATAAGGCGCGGAAAAAGAGCAGATAAGGCGCGGATAAAGCTCGGAAAAAGCGCGGATGAAGCGCGGGTAAAGCTCGGAAAAAGCGCGGAAAAAGCGCGGATAAGGGGCGGAAAAAGAGCAGATAAGACGCGGGAAAAGCGCGGAAAAAGCGCGGATAAAGCGCGGATAAAGCGCGGATAAAGCGCGGATAAAGCGCGGAAAAGGGGCGGAAAAAGAGCAGATAAGACGCGGAAAAAGCGCGGAAAAAGCGCGGATAAAGCGCGGAAAAAGCGCGGATAAAGCGCGGAAAAGGCTCGGCGCGCAGCGGGGATGGCGGGCGGCCGCTGCGGCCGGGACGGCTGCGCTGTGCCGGGGGCGGCGGGGGCGGCTCCGGGGCCCCCGGCACCGGGCACGGCCGTGGAGCTGCCGCACCTGCCCAGCTACGAGGAGGTGAAGCACCTGCCCAGCTACGAGGAGGCGCAGCGCTGCCCGCCCGCCCAGCGGGGCGCGGCCGCGGGGATGCGGGGCTGAGCGCCCCGGCCGGCCCCGCGCCCATGGACCTGCGGGATGGGTCATCCTCATCCTCATCCTCATCCTCATCCTCATCCTCATCCTCATCCTCCTCCGGAGCCCCGGGACTGCCCCAGGTGTCGCAGGAGGGATGCGAGTGCGGTTTTCTGGTGGGACAGTGAGGAGCGCCCCGGGAATGCTCCACAGCGCAGGGTGACCTGCTGGACACCCGGCTCTGCAAAGGGACCTGCCAGGGACACTGGGATTCCCGGGAATGCTCCACACCTGCTGGAAACCCGGCTCTGCAAAGGGACTGCCAGGGACACTGGGATTCCCCGGAATGCTCCACACCTGCTGGAAACCCGGCTCTGCAAAGGGACCTGCCAGGGACAATGGGGATTCCCGGGAATGCTCCAGCCCTCACGGTGACCTGCTGGGCTCTGCCAAGGGACCTGCGGGACTCCTGAGGACACGGAGGAGCGGGACACTGCCCGGAGCCGCTGGCACAGCCTGCAGGACAGCAGGGCGCTGGAAGGAGTTCCAGGAGGAAGGTGACTTGGGGACACGGAGCGATGGGAAGCCCTGGCTGCAGTTCGGTTCAGCATTCCCTGCTGCTCTCACCTGGGCTCGCGTTCCCCGGGAATTTTGGGGTGGCTCGGCTGTGGGATTTTGCTGGACAGGGCTGGGTGATGCTGACCCCCACAGGTGCCAGAGGGAGCTTTTGGGACAGCAGGACCAGGCTGTGCCCCCGGCCTGGGCTGCAGGGGAAGGAGGGAACCCCTCCAAAAGCTGTAAATGAAATATCAGCGCCTCCTGCTCCTGTTCCCTGCGGGGAGCTGGGACCCCTCCTGCCGCAAGGGAAATGAATGTCAGAGCTGCCGCCCACAGCTGGCAACTCCTCCATCATCCACACAACCAGACCCCAAAGACAGGCAGGAACTCCTCCACGCCCGGTGCCACCCCCCTGAAGGAGCCGGGATGCCTCCTTCCCTCCTGAACGCTCCCTGCAGCACCAGCCCGGCTCCCTGGCAGCGCAGCTCTCGGTGCCCCGAGCTTGCATTGAAAACCTTGGATTGTCCTTGCATTAAAAACCTTGGATTGTCCTTGCATTAAAAACCTTGGATTGTCCTTGCATTAAAAACCTTGGATTGTCCTTGCCCAGCTGCACTTCAGCACTCGGAGCTGAGGATGTGCTCAGGGCAGGAGCAGCAGCCACGAGCACCTTTCCCTTTTCCTCCTTTCCTTTCCTTTCCTTTCCTTTCCTTTCCTTTCCTTTCCTTTCCTTTCCTTTCCTTTCCTTTCCTTTCCTTTCCTTTCCTTTCCTTTCCTTTTTCCTTTCCTTCCCTTTCCTTCCCCTTCCCTTCCCTTTCCTTTCCTTTCCTTTCCTTTCCTTTCCTTTCCTTTCCTTTCCTTTCCTTTCCTTCCCTTCCCACCTGCATAAATAAACCTACTTATTTGAAATACAGATTAGATTTTCGAACCTGCAGGGCTCCAGCTAGCACAGTCATTTCTTTTCATGAAGTAAAATAATTCTTGCAGCCCCCTTCACGAAAAGCACAGAAATAACGAAATATTTTATTGTTTTGTACAACCAAGACTTGTCCCTCTCTTTCCCTGAAGGTACCAGCCCATCTTATTTTCCCAAACTTTTACAGGACAAAGGCACCTAAACTAAAATTAGAAAGGTTGAAATCCAGTATTGGAAATTTTATAGCACAAGGCAAGCCCTGACTGGTTTGGATCAATGCAAATAAACTTTGGAAATAGAGATTCTCACATGTGATCAATTCATAAAACCTTTTTTTCCCCCTGGCTCTTCCCCACCCCCTGCAGAGTAAAATCTCATTTCTGTTATCATGAAAATAAAGAAATGGAGGTCATAAAATATTTAATAAAAAACATGTAAAAACCAATATAAAAACCGTGTCTATAATATAGAAATAGCAAATTGCTTCTCTCCAACCTCCCCCTAGCTGTGGGTGACACAAACTTTATATTAATATAAATATCAATTAAAATTTCAGAATTAAATTTTAGAAAGCTTCAAGCTTTTTTCCCATAGTTGCTCCTTTATAATTGTGACTATTCTGAAGTGAATCAGGCAACAATCAGCAGTTTTTTCTGTAGGAAATAGTTCCACATAATCTGTAAAAATCCAATTTTCATGTCAGATGATTCAAACCTTCCTCCTGCTCCAGTCCCAAAGGGTAAAATCCCACAGACAAATCCAGATCTCAAAGTTTTAATGCCTTAAAAACCAGAAAACAAAAGCTATTTTTAATTTTCCCTCTGAACTATTACAAATATGCAGTAGGTTTTTAAACACCCACCTGAGCTTTTGCTTTTGCCTCACTTGAGGACTTTATTTTTCACCTAAAGAAGTATTTTTCAACTTCCCTTTTTTATAATCAGAGAGGATTTACTGTGGCCAAGGTTAAATGAAGTGAATGAACTCAACTGCCACCCTGCAATGGCAAAATTTGGGTTATTTTTGATTATTGATCCATCACAGCAGCACCTAAAAAACTGAATTTTAATCATGTTAATTAATCTCTGCTTTTTAGGTTGGTTTATGATGGTTTAAATCAAGTAGTCAGGAATTAAATTAGAGGTATTTATTTTTAAATAATTTCTTGTTCTGGGCAATAATGTAACCAAAATGTACCTGAAACATTTGCATCCTTCTGCTATTTATTTTACTTAATACTGAAAATAACTGAAAATAGGTAAAAATATAATCCAAAACTTTGGAAACTCCAGAAAAACCATCTCAAAATTCCCCTGGCACGGATGGTGGCACTTCCCTTGGAATTACAATCCCTAAAATCCCTGCCACAATGCCAGAAAAGCCATGTAGGAACATTTTCTACTGAGAAATTCCTGAAATTCAGATTTTATACCCAGGGTCACAACTGCATTTAGAACCTGGGTGCTTTTCCACAATATTTTGCTTTGTTTTCTATTTAACACCAGGATGCTCAGGACTGGATGTGTGTGATAAAAATGGAATTAAACAGTTCTCCCACCCCCTCCAAATGTAATTAAACCACCCCAAATATTCTATTTTTAGCACTCAGTGTTGATCCCCACATGCAGCAGCTCTCAGGTTCATTAAAAAACTCCTCTTTGATTTGGTTTTATTAAGAAATTTATGAACTGTGCCAGAGAGGGTCACACAATGGTTTACAAATTTGCTGTATGTACAGATATTTAACATTTTGCTGGTAACACTTGAAAGATACATAATAAACCTTGTCAGTGATGAATAAACTGGTAATGTGTTTATAACATGAAGAGAAAGCAGCCAGCTTCGGGTGTGAAACACAGAAAAGTGAATCTTGATGAAATAACATAAATTAAGAAAGATTATTTACAAATCAAGGGTTTTGGGCAGAAAAAAGACAGGGAATACTCTCTTATTTTAAATATTCTTGTCAATTTTACACGTCAGATGCTACAAATGCTGTTTGTTACTTCCAACAACCCTGAAATCACATTCCAAAGCATTTTAAACCAAAAAAACCAAAACCTTTTACTGCTGAATGTTTTGCTTAGTGACAAACCTGAAATTATCTGAAATCATCTGTTAAAGAACTCACTACAAATATGTATTGACTCTACTGTGAGGGAAATATTTGTACTTTAGAGGCTCAAGCTCCTTTTTTTTTTTTTGCATTTTCAGCACTTCCAGTTTGCTAAATTTGTTTTAGGGCAATTGAAACAAGTCTGGAGAGGTCCCTGGGCTTGCAGAAATAACCAAAGTGCTTAACTTGGGGCTTAAATTGTGATTTCAGGAGAGGCAACCCAGGTTAAAGAATATTAATGGCAATGAAAATTTAAAATCACTGAGAGAGGAGCTGTTCATTCCCTTTTTTCTCATGTATGTAGTCAGCACTGGAACCAGAATATAAACCCAGCTCAAAATGAAAGGAAATAATTAATCCTGTGTGTCACCCAAGGGTTCAAATCCACAGAAATTCTCACTCCTGTGACCCACAAAATGTTTGCTGTGGCTTTTTTTTTTTTTTTTTTTTTACAACAAATCAGTATCAAATATTGAAGCAGCACTTTGAAGGTGCCCAAAATGTGAATTACTGCTGCACAGTCACACTGCTCCTCCCTGCAGCACTGGCTGCTGCTCGTTCTCTTTCTTTAGCAATTTCCATCTCTATTTTGGCTTTGATTTTATTCCAATCCACTTCCAGCTGTAAGAAGAGAAAAATGAAACACACAGAGCTCAACATCAGAGAGGGCCAGGTCAGTTATTCCATGTAAAAATACAATTATCAAGTGTTGGGTACCCAAACTCATGGAAGGTGTGAAGGCACAGCTGAGTTCTAACTGAGCTTCACCTTTAAAACAAACCAACCCGAGCTATTTTAATAAACCTCATTGTGTCTGGCAATAAAACACAAAAATAACCTGCCTCTAATTCAACAGCATGACATCAGTGTCCTGTTACTGAGAATTTAGCCCTGCATCATTAATTTAGGAGTGATGTCTCCTCCAAGGAGCTGATAGGATGTCAAACCAGTTATCTGCTCCCACAGCAATCAGATTCCTGCTTGGAACTGCCCTTCTGCATCAATAAATGCTTCAGTTTGAACCTTGGCATTCCTCCTGGCATTTTGTGGCTGTGCTTTGTGCCAGTGAAACCCCAGGCAACACACACAGCACAATACCCCAGCACAAATGTGGGAAGGAAAGTTGTTTCTTCCCCAAAAAATGCTTGACAAGGAAATAAAAAACGGATCATGGTGCATTTGATGACCACAACAACATGTCCAAAATGTCATTGTGCAGTTCAGTTTATTGCTGGAGAATTAACAAAGGTGGGATGGGAGAAGGATTTCATGGGCTGCACAGGGAATTCTCCTCTGTAATTAAGCAATGGAAAAACAGGGGGGATTCTCTAAGAGGGAAAGTGAAATTTAACACCCACATTCTCAGGTGAAAATGTAATAATAATACCTCAGTTCTAGAGGCAGTGACTGGCCCCAGGATTCTCAGGATATGTGTAAGGTATGAGAACCTGAGATACAAAATAAGCACAATTTTAGATCCTGCCTGGCTGCAGAAAATAGAGGGAAATCTTATTTAAGCCTGAAGAGGTTTTAGGTTGTGAGAGGGAAACTGAGACCCTTTTTTACCCCTGAGAAGGAACAGCAGCACAAAATCATGCTTTGCTTTTCAATTTCTTTCTGATTTTGCTTTATGAGTCTGACAGGTTGCATGAAGAATTTAATTACAGCTTTAAATTCACATTATGTGGAGGGTCACAGATCCAACAAAGACCTCCAGCAGATGTGGAAAAGGACTTTTTCCCTCCAGAAATCTCCTGAGTGAGACCCCAATTTCAAGAAAATCTCCAAATTTCCAAATTAATTTTAGAAAACTTCAAAATCTCTAAGTCTCATGACTGAGAAAGCTGAAAAATCACCCTGCTCACACCTTGTCACTGCCAAGGTGGAATTCCTTAGGAATCCTGATGGAATCTACAGCTTCCTCCAGGATTTTAAGAAAATCAGGATTCTCTCCAATGTCCATCAGCAGCATCAGGGAATTTCTGTGATTTTTGCTCTGTAATGGGCTTTAGAGAACACACAGAGCTGGAAAAGCTCCAGGATAAAAATGCCTGGAGTCTGTGCTTTATTTCTCTGTATTTTCCAGGTAAATTACTGTGGAATGGTTCATTAGGGGCTGACTTTTGTTCAGGAAATGAGACTCCTTAAAGTGCTAAAAGCTAATGCCTTCCATTAGAAATCCAGCTTCATTCCAAGTGTCCTGGGCAGTGCCCATGGAAGGATGTGAATTCCCAGCCCAGGTGTTCCCCCACCCTTCAGCTGCAGGGATAAAAGGATTCCACACAAAGGAGAGGTTTTTTGGGATCATTTCTCTCTCAGAATGCTGAGGAACAAGGAGGGGAGAAGCAGGAAGGAATTGTGGCTCTCCTGAGGGAAATGTGGGGAAATATTGCAGTGGAATCCAAGATCCAGCTGCTGAATTTCAGGACGTGCCCTCAGCCCTCAGGATCTGTGAAACACTAATAAATGGATTTCCTAGGGATGCAGAGGGTTTCCAATACATGCATATGGAATTGTTGATTGTATTTAAAATCAGAATGGTTTGCAGTTCATAAAAATAAAGATTCATAAAGATTTCTTCAAAGTTTTTTACTGTTTCTATCCATAAAATGCCACAAAAAATGTTGGAAATATTTGAGAGACTCATTGAGCCATGGTGATGTTTAACTCCCTGTTTATAGAAAACAACTGTGCCTTCACTTTTGTGATCTTTACCAGATATTAAATATATATATATAGTGAATCTTCAAATAAAACCCATGCCCAGCTATTCCTGGCCAATATTAGCCCAAAACCTGTAAGAATTCCACATTTCTGTTCACATTTGAACCCCAGAAGGAAACCAGAGGTGCAAACCCACCCCACTCTCCAGCAGGAACAACCCTGGGGGATACTTACACCTTCTGCATACTGCAAAAACCTTTGGTTGGTTTCTTTTTTCCCAAAATCCTCCAAGAATTTCTGTCTGTAAGCCAGGACTGTGTCCACGTGTGTCCTGTGCTTCACTGCCAGATCCAGGGCTCTGCAACAGGGCAGGAATGGGCTGGGGAAATGCTCTGGCACCTCCACCATCACCCAGAAACTCTGAGGCTGAGGGCAGAGATCCCAAATCCCACCCCAAAATAGGATCAGGAGGTACAAAGTAACCAGTGATGAAAAATACCCAACAATTATTCCCACTAACAACCTCATCACACCACTAATTTGAGCCCAGGAGGCTTTTTATTTCAAGGAAATGCAGAATATTTCAGAGTTTAGCACAAAAATAATAATGCTTAATAACTTTTTTCCTAGTCAGAAGTAGGTTCTGAACAGTCATAATACACATATTCTATATAATGTTTATAAATATTGTATAGGTGGAAAAAGTCAGACATTGGATTAATTTAATTCATTACTCACACTTGGATTCTTCTCAGTGGCTTAAGAACACTGATATTTCATCTACAGAGTTTTTGATGATAGAATAAAAGAATATTCTTTTCCTAATATCCAACTTAAACCTCCCCTGACACAGCTTCGTAACAAAACAAATTACAGATTTGTGGGGGAAAAAAAAATCAACCTTTTGCCTGAATATATCAATAAAACAGCAGAGAAATTAGGAGTAAACAACTCAGAGGATTCTGTCAGAAAACAGAATGTGGGGGTTTTGTTTAAATGAGAAATTCCTCCTTTGTTTTCTCAGCCTTAATTCATATTTTCTCCACCTACACAATGCTGGGAGTCTGGGTAGCCACAATTTTATTTTTAGCAGCAAGACATTTTCAAGCAGCCCAAATTCCACAGCCACTCTGGGGCATCACTGGGGGCTCCTCTGTGCTAGCAGTGATGAGAAAGCAAAATGTTATTTCAAAATGTTTCCAGGCATATTTTGGGCTTTTATCACCAAATATTTGTATTTTCTAAATACAAAAATGCTGGGTTTGTTGGCTATGATTTAATTAGCTTTTTTTTTTGAAGTGGTGGGCGATCAAAAGATAAGAAATGAGTCAGCAATAAAACAACTGATGGAAATAATCAGGAAAACGTATTTTAATGGGAAACAACTCCTACCTCTCCCAGTTGTAAAGGTTGATGTTGATTTGGATGGCCTGGTAGACCAGGCCTGCCTGGAGCAGGAGGGTTTCAGCCTCCTGGCTGTTGCCACTGAAGAGCAGCATGTGAGCCAGCCTGGACTCCTTGGAGGGCAGCTCCTTGATGGAATTGATGTACTGCACTTTGTCAATCTGCTCAGGAGGGGGACAGCAGGGAGATGCATTCACCAACTTGGCTTTGCAAGGATTTCATTCCGTTTTAACTGTGCTTTCTTACCTCGCCGATCGCCGCGTAGGCGATTTCAGCTGTGCTCATGTCCTTGTTGGCCACTGCCATGGCTGCCAAACAAGCCCACAGGGTCTGGTCCTGAAATTCAAAATAAAAACAACCTGGAAACCTCCAAATGTTCATTATCATGCTGCAAGTGACTCCTCAAAGCAACTACACAAGGCTTAAAAATCCTGTGTAATATTACGTTTCTCTGCGTGTCATTTATGGCACTGTGCTCTGAAGTCTCTTATTAGGAAATGATTAATTATTTCTCAGAACTAGGAATTAGAAAAACTTCATGGTAATAATAATATTACACCTTTTTATTATTGTTTTAAATATGACTTTTAATTATATATTTAATTATTCATAAATATGTAAATTCATACATTATTTATTTTTCTATATTACATTTTTACATATTTCCTTTTTTTTACCCTTTTATTATTATTTTATATATTACTTTTATTGTTTCTGTGAGGGTTTTTTGGGGAATTTCATGCAACCTTGAGGAAACCCCATGAACACAGAATCTAGGAAGATCCTAAATGACATTTTGATGGATTTTCAAGTGACAACATTTTGACAAAGACACACTAATAAAACATATTTTAATCTAATTTAAGCTACAACATCTAAAACTATTTTCAGACAGAAAAAATGTAATTTTGGACTTGCTGGTCCAGGAATTAAGGAGAATTTTGTTGAGTGTGCTCAGTAACAAATGTGGAAATAAAGACTTTGCACTGTGAAGGTTTCAGAAGGATCACTCCTGACTGAAATCAGAAATGAGCAGCTGCACTGAGGGAGTTCTAAAGACATTCCCAGATTTCCCAAGTGACTTTTCCATCACTCAGGAAAAACCCTCCTGCAGGAAGCCCAGAATGTGGGAAAATTAAGATTGTTCAGAGAATGAAATGCTCCTAAAATTTTCCTCACATTCTCCTCCCACTTCCCTGTTATTTAGAAAATCAGGTGACAAAATGCTGAAAGCTCAGCCTGAAATTATCCAGGAGATGAAATTATTATTTTGATGCTTCCAAGTTGTTTCTTGTTGCTTTTTTCCCCTCAAAAATATTACCTATTCTGTTATTCCTGATTGGAAATACTTTTTACTCTCTAACTGGGCTGCCAAAATCAAAATATCCTGACTTGGATGCTTAAATCAGGTGATGTGGACACTGCAAATAAAGATTCTGTTACAATTAATTCTACTTATGCAACACAAATGATCTGGATGTGCATTAATGTAATAATTGGTTACACAAATATCTGAAATACACATTTAAGGTACTAAATTTTCTAGGAATAAATGGGAAGGAAGGTTTGAAGGGCTTTTGTTGTTTTATAAACTACCACACTCACCTCATCTGTTGCTGTTGTCTAAATAAATACAAAAGAAAGCAATGGAAAAGGAAAAAAAATAAAAAGAAGTGAAATAAACTATGGAAATTAACAGGTAATTGTGGAAATGTCACTTTTCATTGGTTATATTAAGGCCCAAACCTTAAAGATAAAGGTTGGTTATATTAAGGCCCAGACCTTAAATATTGGTTATATTAAGGTCCAGACCTTAAGTTTAAAAACTTTTAAAAAAATTAAGTTTAAAACTGAATTCTGGGAGCACTTGTGTTCAATCCAGCTGGATTCTGGTGTGGCTAAAAATAAGAACTATTATTTTTCACGGAAGTTACGGAATTAAGAAAACCACCTCATTTTCCATGAGCCACAAAGCAGGCCGGAAATGAGCCGCACCATTCGATACAGAGAGATTGCTAAGGAAAAACACTTAAAACCACAGAAATGGTCGTGAATATTCCCAAAAATGAGATGTACCTTGACAAACCTGCAGAGCCTGAGCCCGTCCTGCCAGCGGGAGGAGCTGACGTGGCCGTGCAGGATGGCGGGGTACGGGGAGACGTGCAGGTGCACCAGGGACCCGTCGGCCCTCCTGATTGTCACCTGGCTGCCCACAAAACTCACGATCTGAGGGCTCTTGCTCAGCTCACTGCAAGCAGAAAGAAAAAGAAATGAGTATTTAGATGTTTTTACAGGAAAAGGATTTAAGATCGGTTATTTGTGAGCTGGTGTTTTGCTGCTTTTAATTGCCGACGTCATCGGAACAAATCTTTTCTGGGTTTTTTTTTTTTTACAAAACCTGAGGTAAAATTTTAAGAGAAAAAATTCAGATTTTGCTTTTACCTCAAGATGCTGCTCTGCTTTCTAACCCTGCATCATAATTTCAACCCTAAACTTTATGATTTTCTTTATAAACCCTTTTTTCCTCATTTCCCAAGCAAGAAACAGGAGACTTTTACAAGTTGCAAGGTCAGCTTTTACTTCTCCCAAGCACAGTTTGTTAAGAAATGAGGGAAACAGTTAAAATAAATCATATTTGGATTTAAAAGGATTTCTTACCTGGCATCTTTTTCGTACAGGGTTTTTGGGAGAAGGTCTTTATCCACGTAGACTGTGTTGGGATAATACCAGACTGTGAACCTGGAATCCTGGATCCCACAGAGGATGTTGCAGCTGTCATTCCAGGCCAAACTCTGCACCATTGTCCCTTCATGTACAGACAACAAATAATGATAAGCAATGAATAAATAGATAAAGAAATAAATAAGACATTTCCAGGAGAAACTTCAAAATAAAGGGAATTATACCAGGGTGCTCATTCAGCATTTTTGGTTGCTTCTCTAAGGTTTTAACCCCAAATTTGTAGCATTTTTAAAAGCTGCTTTGGATGGCAATGATAAAAAATCAACAGAATTTAGATAAAATGTACTGAAATTGTTTCTACCTCCATCATATAATAGCCAAAGTTTTTTTTTTTCAAATTCAATTTCACTATTAATTAAGCAAAATGTTATCTCTTGTATTAAATACAAATTTATTTCCCTCCCAGCATCTTCCCCAACATCAATTTGAGTTTTTCTCACCTATTTTGACAATCTTCTGCTCTTTCCCAAACCTTTTCACTGAGGTGATGAAAAGATCTCTGTTCTTATCAATAAAAGCTATTTTCCTCTCACTTGTCAGTCCCTTCTGGTCCAAGGCAATCTCCACAATCTCTGTCTGAAAAGATAAAAGAGAATCTCTGATTCTTCTTTTGGAGATTTTGTATTTGGACATTCAAATTGATTTTTTTTCCTAAAAACAAGGCACCAAAATTCTTGGATAAACTGGGTTGGAAAAACATTTTGTGTGTGATTTATCTGTGGAATAAATCATTCCATGAGGTTAAAATTAAGATGATTTTAAAGTCCTTTCCAACCCAACCCATTCCACGATTCTGTGATTTTATAAACTGAATTTCACGAAGATTAAAACAATTCTGAAGACAACACAAAGCATTAAAAGTCAGCTGCAAAGCTCCTTTCTATTAAGATTTTAAAACCTTTAATGGGTTTTTAGTCCCATTATTGAGGAAAACCATTAGTGATTCTTAATTTCTGAGTGAAATAAAGACATTAAAGCACTTATTTTACCTTGTGGGTCAGAGGTTTTCCATCACCCAGTGGCTTCCCAGATAAAGCTTCAAAGATGTAGATAACTGAAGAAAAATAATGATATACTTTATTAATAAAAGCAGAAGTTCTTAATGGATTTTCCAGGGATTCCACACTTTTTTGGGCGTAATTTAGTGCAAGTGGATAAAATATTCCATGTGAGGTTCACCAGTGATTTTCACATGGTGGTGAAAAAAATCTTATAAAAAACTGAATTTTCACTTCCTATCCCTGTTTTTCATTTCCTGTCTCAAATGTGCCTTTCCAGAAACGACACCAAATTGTGCTAAAAGCCTGCATCAATAATCTAAATAAATCCACATTTCCAACATCAGACTGACTCAATCTTAACCCACAATTTCATCAGTGGGAATGTTTAGAAAGAGAGAAAATTAAAAAATCCCATCAGGGAGTAAAAACTTATTCTATTATTTTCTGTAAATATTCCATGGATCTGTAATATTCTGTATTATTTCTGTAAATATTTCTGTAATATCTGTAATATTTCTGTACATATTTCCATGGATTCCATGGCAATTCAGAGCCAAACCATTCTCTTGAAGTTTTTAAATTAATTTTAAGCAAGACCTATAAGTTGAATTCATTTTTATACTAAATATATATATATTTTTGTGCAAAATAAAGCAGGATTTACCCTTCTCATCAGCCTTGTCCCTCACTGCCAGCGTGTCATTGCTCAGGGACACTGTCAGGGCATTTAAAATGTCTGTCCTCATGCCTGGGTATTTTGGAGAGGAAATCAATCTGCCTTCATAGGAATATAAATAAAGTCCTCCACCATCCACGAGAAGAAAATGCCTAAAAAAAAAAAAAGAAAAAAAATCCCCAATGACAAAGAAATAAATCACTAAATAATATAAAACATGGTATTTTCCACAATGGGAAAGTAATTGTTTAATATCCTGCAACTCTTCTTCCAGCTTCCATCATTCCTAAGCTTTACATTTTCAAGATACCCTGGAAGTTCTGTATGGAAAAGTTTGGTTTTTTTTAATGTATTATCTATTTCCAAGAGAAATATTTATTATGTCAAATATTTATGATTTTACCTGGGTATTTTTTGTTTATTTCTGATATTTCAATTTGAGCTTATTTTGTTCATTATATATATATATATATCTCTCTGAATATATATCTATATAACAAATAAACTTATTATAAATACAATAAATTATTTTATAACACAGGCAATATAATAAATAAATAAATATATATGTATTTATAATATAGATAATAAATAAATTTATTTATTTAATAGTTACATTCTGTTCATAATGAGCATTTTAAGAAGTCAGGTACCTCTCTGCTTGGAGAATCAAACTCACAGTTCCTTCCTTCAGGTCAAAAATCAATGGAGTGTTCCAGTTCCTTGTCCTGCAAATATAAAAAAATCAGCATTAATTAAAAATCACTAATTCCCACATAGCTCAAACACAGAGTTGGATTCAGCAAGCAAATCACACACTTTTAACCAACAAATATTAATAAAAGGGAGGTTTTCCAACTTCAGACAGCACTGAGGAAGCCAAGGAACACTGATGAGCACAAAATATGATGGAATAAAACTCCTGCCTTCATTGTTTCACCTCTTCACACCAGCAGCAGCTGCCCCAGGAGTCTTAAAACCAGCAAAAATTATTTTTATATGGATTGTTTCATTTCTAAAATATTTTAAATATTTCTGACTCTTTTACAGTGATCTGCACTAGTGTTGACTGAGCAGATATTGCACTGATTATTTCAATTAATTAATTCTTGTGCTTCCAATGAAGTTTCTGCCACTCTTTTCCAAACAATGTGAGGAGGAGGAATTTGCTTTACTCACGAAAATATATAACACTGCAGGGAAAAATTAGCAAGATCATATTTATATGGATTATTTTATTTCTGAAATATTTTAAGATATTTCTGACTCTTTTACAGTGATCTGCACTGGTGTTCACTGAGCATATATTCCAATTAATTTAAAATAAATTAAAAAAAATTAAAAATAAATTAATTCTTGTGCTTCCAATCCACTTTTCCAAACAATGTGAGGAAGAGGAATTTGCTTTACTCACGAGAACACATAACACTGCAGGGAAGTGGAGACCACCAAGTATCCATAATTCAGGGAGGCTTTGATGACCCTGTCCCGGAATTCCAACAAATCCACGGCGTCGTTGATGACATTGTGCACCTGAGCACAGGGAAATGGTCAGGGAACGACACAAAAGAGCTGAAATTCAAATTAATTCATGAAATATTCCTGCTGAGAAAATCATTTGAGAGGGAGGAGTGTTTGAACTATCAATATTGTTTTGACTGTTTTGTTAAATTTGCTGGATATACTGAAGCAGATAAGGTATAAAGATTATTATAATGAATATAGATATGCTTATTTTTAAAAGGCTTGTTTATAATGGTGTAAGGCTTAGTTAATTAAATAGATTTATGATTTTTTAAATTTATTTTGAGTTTGGTTACATTTTTAACCAAACTCAAAAAATCCCATTTTAAGATTGCTCAGCTGTTGATAATTTGAATATTTGAAATGAACACGTCAATGTTTATTTCACTGTAATTTAAATAAATTTAATGTGTGTTACTTAAATAAACACTTCATCCAGACAATCCAGCAATATCCAGCACTGGAATGAAGATGCTGCAGAGCTCTGGAATTTTTATTATTCCACAGCTGGAAGCACAGGAAATCCAGGAGACAGGCTGGGTGAGCAGGTTGTGGTTTTGTTATTCTGCTTGAAATTTGCTCAAGAAAATCAGAATTTGCCTCAAATTTTTCAGCTCAGAGATTTTAGGGAGCTAAAAATCCAAGGAGGGGGGACCTTAAACAAAAAAGTGTCCTGGTTTTTGGTGGGGTTTTGGGGTTTTTTTTAAAGATGTCACCATTCTGAGGGTGGTAACTTCCTTGTGATGTTCTCCATTATGCACCAATTGCAAAACATGGGCTGACCTCAATTATTCCAAGAGCCTGGAAACCATTTCCAAGGATATGTTAATTGCTATGCCCACCACAGCATCACTAATTAACTTTGCCATTGTAATACTCAGGAAAAAAAATCCATCTGCAAGTTTTTTGTAGGATTTTGTAGGATTTTCCTACATAATATATAGGAATAAAATCACTGTAAAAGAATGAAAATTAAAAATGAGTCAGGGTTAGCTACACTTCCTCACTCTTTGCATATTCAAAAAGGGAATTCAAATCCCATGGAGATCATTCCCAAGTGCATCTGGAACGAGTCAATGTCTGGGAATGAGGGGAAAAATTGGGAATTTTGAGCTGATTTGTGCTGTGTGCTCCCAGACACTGACTCACAGCATCCCACCCACGGCCCCAGCCCCAAATCCAGCCCTGCTGCTGCTCCAAATCTTCCCAATTCCAAACCCAACATGAAAATGAAAAAAAAAAACCATTGAAGGGTCTCATTAGGAATTTAGGAACTCGATGCTGAAAAGCCCCAAATGTGTAATTTGGAAAATGTGGAAGGATGGAAATCTTGATTATCCCAGAGAACAAACCTTGTGAGTCAATGTCTGGGAACACAAATTAAACCCAAAATTCCCATTCTGCATTAAAAACAAGCTTTGTGATGGGGCTGCCCAGCTCTGAGGGGATTTTACCTTCATGGTTCTTCTCTTAATTAAGGTAATTTGGAAGTTTTGCCACTCCCAGTGCTGCTCCACCACGTGGGCAAAGATGACCTGGCCATTCCCACAGGCTCCGGCCAGCTGGGTGCCATCGATGGACCAGGAAATGGCAAAAATGCTGCCAGTGCTGGGCTTCTCCAGGGCATAAGACCACTGGGAACAAGAAAAAAATAATAATTTCAGTTACTCTGTAATTCTAGGAATCATTTCTTGTCAGAAATACGTTTGCAGGGTTGGGATTTTTCAAGCAGCGACAACAAATGAAGTTTTTGTTGAGTTGGGATTGGATGTTTAAGTCTGGAAAAAAAATAAAAGGAAAAGCAGAAATTAAAAAGTCACAATGCTGGAAGTACATCAGGTATCAGTTTCCTACTCATGATTTATTCCAAGTGTGATCACATTCATAAATCCAGGCAATCACTACATAAAATTAAGGTGCTTAAGAAATAATTACATTTTCTCCACTTTGTTACTGTCCAAGTGAAGGATTAATTAAAAATTTCCTCCAGCAAAGACCTTAATTCTTAATTGCCTCAGCCTTAGCCATGAGACTCCTCTGAAGTTTAGATCCTTATTAATAAATTCTTGTCAAAAATTAGAATTTTCAGACCAAGACACTTTAAAATTTCCTGCATATCAGAAACACAAATCATCCTGAATCTCCAAACAGATGTTTCCCTGAAAATGGATGACAAATAAGAATTAAATAACCTTTTTAGGGAATTTTAGGAAGATATTCAAGCAGATTCTAAAACAAGCAGCAAATCTCAATTATTTCCTCTTTATGTAATAGAATATTTTTAAGGAGTAGTAATAATGTAGGAGTATAAGGAGTAGTAATTTTGTAGTAATTGAAGAATGACCTGAATATCCAAATATGTTTGAAATCTTAGAGAGCAAATCAAGAATAAAAACCATGTGATTGAAGTTAAATGTAAACATTGGATTGACTTTTGGGTACATGAAATTATCCCAAAAGGGGCGCAGCTGGAAGAAAATCCTCATCTGATGCTTCCAACACATTTCATATTCTGATTTCTTTGGACTCAAAAGGTTCAGTGGGAAGGGAATTCCATGGGGTGAAATCCAACCCCAGTGGTGCTCCTGCTTTGGGAATTCTGGGAATTAAAGCTCTTTTTCCATACCAGGGGGTCTAAAAGGTGATGCTGGCACTGCCTGAATTTCCATTTTCAAGCCTTGGTTTTAAGATTTCACCTTCCCCATCATCCCCTGTCTTGGGAAGGAAGTTCCCATTTTGGAATTCCAAGGAAGGAAATTCCCATTTCTGAGTTCCAAGGAAGGAAATTCCCATTTCTGAGTTCCAAGGAAGGAAATTCCCATTTTTGAATTCCAAGGACGGAAATTCCCATTTTTTGGAAAGAAATTCCCATTTTTGCCCAGTGCCCAACTGCTCCGGTGCCTGGCCAGGCTGAGCTCAGCCCCGAACCCTCCCCATTAATTAACCCCAGTAATTAAAGGCTGAGCTCCATTCCCAGCTGGAATCTGCCTGGGATCACTCTCAGGAGCTGTTCCAGGCTCCTCCCAGGCAGACCCGAGGTCCTTTCCCCAGGATCCAGGATCCACCCAGGAGAAGCAAAGGCCACAAACCAGAATTAAAAACCACTTTAAGGAGCTCCAGGAATGTTTTTTTGGAGCTCCTTTTCCATGGAAAGCAGAGGCACTGCAGCTCTGATGGGATCCATTCCCAAAACTCCTTTAATAATTTTTTTTTTTCTTCAGGCCATTGAAAATCATTCAAGTATTTGCAGATCATAGCCTAAAATCCCAGGAAAAGCCATTTCCAAGCTTTATTTTCCAGCTGTTTTGAAGGCTCTGTGTAACTCAGAGCACTCCAGTGATTCATGCTCCCTGCAGACTGCTGGGCCATTTATCATGGCCATAAAATCTTATCAGAAAAATCATTTGAGCTCTTCATTTTTAAATAGAAACAACTTAAGAACCAGAATAGTTGCTGTGAAATTCCTAAATAAGACAGAATTATTATTTTTTTTAATTTTGGAAAGGTCTGACTGTGACTCCAAGAATTAATATTGGTCCAACATTAATTCAATATTTTGGGTTCTACTTGTCTTGTATAATAATTTTTCACTGACTTCTCTCAAGAACAAACCCAGGAGTTCTAGAAGTTTTGTTTTATTAAAGAAATCCATAAAAGCAGCAACTTGAGCTTCCCCCTTCTGACTGCACAATGCAGTAAAAGTTTGCAGGATGTTTTCCTCTATTTTCCAAAGATATCAGGCAATATTCCACATTTTTAATTGAATTTCTAGCAAAATTTGATGGAATAGAAAAATATAAGATGACCAGTCAGATGTGCAAACTGCCAGTGTAGTAAAATGGCCAAAATTCCCTCTGTAATACAAGAAAAGTTTGAAGAATGTACAAGAGAATTTTAAAATTTATGGATTAATGGAAATAATTGTTTTTATTACATAGAATTTTCTCAGCAGAATGTTGAAGGCAGGAGTAAAGCAAAGGGCAGGGTTTAACAGTCAAATAAATATCAATGTATAGATAAACAACATCAGAAGATAAATGTTCAACAAGAAGAGCACTAACAATTTGGAAAATAAACAAAACCATTAAATTAAACTGATCAATCCCATTCAGGGTAAGTCATTAAGAGAAGATGCAGAAATATATTCAGCATTATTTAAATAGAAATTGGATGCCCCTATTTACTAATTGAAATGATTCATTTGACCAGTGTTTCATTTTTACTATTTTTTATCACTGATCCCTCAGCATTCCCAAGTCTCTGGGAACACAACTTGCCTGTAGGACAGCTGCAATAACTTATTTTATATTCAAATATACAATTTCTTTTCATGACTTTTAATCGAAAAAATACAATTCAAAATGTTAATATTAAATTTGTAAGTTTGGTGTTCACCACGATGCTGCTTGAACATCCCAGGGAGGTGGGAAAAAAAGAGCAAAAAGAGCATTGAGTGCAAGAATTTAATTGCATTATGCCCCAAAGTGAAGACATATGCTGGAGAGGAGTTAATGATAAATATTTATTGTCCTGATGGCTCCCTGGGGAGCAGTTTGCCAGGGCAGCTCCGTTCCATCAGCCACAATAAAAGTGTCTGTGCTGAGCAGGAAAGGCAGCTCTGCTTCTCCTCAGGCTCCCTGGGAATCCCTCCCTGATTTCCCTCACCCAGCCTCTTCTGCAGGCAAGATTTACAGCCAGGGCCATTATTTACATTCAAAACCCTGGATTTAAAGAGAATAAAAGCTGCTCAACACACAGAGCAGCTGGCAGCAGCTACTGCCCATTTGTGTTTGAGCAGTAATGAATAATAAACTCAGGTATAAAATTAAAAAAAAAAAACCCTCTTAATAAAATCAGGTAAAATAATCTTAATTTTCTATAAGAAATAAACCTGTCTGCATTAAAACTCTCAATGACCTGTTCAGTGTCAAAGGCTGATTAAAACATTGTTTTTTAGCTTGCAGGAGTCTGAGCCAGACTTAACAGTAAATTACAGAGCTGTAGATATCAAAATAAATCATATTTAAATCAGCAAATTGACACTTTGCAAAAGAAAAATGCATTTGAGATCTCTCCCTTCTAGATAATTATAATTAAATTTCACTTACAAATTGGTAATTAAATTCCATTTATACACAGTCAGTGGAAATCAGTGAAATCAGAAACACTACAGATGGTGAAATAGGAAAAGTCAGATTTTATCCTTATGCCTTTTCTCAAATAATCTTTAATTTTAACCTTATACCTTTTATAACCTTATTACAACCTTATAACCTGTTATTATAACCTTATACCTTTTCTCAAATAATCTTTAAAGGTTCCTCTTCATGAAATTATAATATTTGAAACACACACTCCAAATTCCTGGTGAGGTGAACCACAACTGACTGAACACACCCAAAACACCACAGCAATTTTTACCCAAAAAGAGCAATAAACACAACAAGAAACCAGGACAATGAAAGTCCCAAATAATCAAAGTTTGCTGCAAAAAAATCTGAGGAAAAATGTGCAGAATCACAGGAAACCCCCAGAGACAATGAGGACACAATCTGTGCTCCCAAAAAGGGAGGTGAAGCTGAATTAAATTGATTTAAATTTGAGACAAAGCTGCAAAAAACCCTATAAAAATAATGATTAGGAGTAAACCTTCAAAAGAAAAAAAAAATAATAAAAGTGGCTATAATATCATAATATAATATAATATAATATAATATAATATAATATAATAGTAAATGTTTCTTCCACTTCTTTTTCTATCAGGTTACTGTTATACATTCCTTTTTATGGTTAAAAATAGCAAATTATTATTAGTTCTGATGACAAGAGATGCTTGTGTACTCTCTGGTTTTCAGGTAAAGAATTTCATGTCCCAAAAGGCAAAATATTATTAAAAATAAAGTATTCTGCTCAGCAAAAAGGTGCTGGCAATCACAAGCAGTTTTTGCTAATAAAACACTCACCTGTACACTGATATCCTGAGGAATATTTGCTGTATTATCAATAAATCTGGACAATTTCCAGAGTTTTACTCTGGACTTTTTAATTTTTATTATATTTAGTAATTTTTTTCATATATAGAAAATAAATCTGCAGAGTTTTACACCGGAAAATATTTTAAAATAATTTAAAATAAAACATTTAAAAAATTAAAAATATTTTTATTATATTTCATAGATATTTTTCATTTAGATGAAATAAATTTGTAGAGTTTTACTCACCCCAGTTTTATCACAGAGACGTAAAGTGTTGAAAGACCCCACAGCAAACAATTCTCCATCCAGAGCCCAGGCAATGGCAGTGATGGGATACTCGTGGGGCTGGGAATTGTACAGGACACGGCCAAAACTGTCCCAGACCTGCAGCAAAATTCAGATTTCCATCCATGGCACCACGCTGTGGGTGCACTTAGATTATTCCAGAAAAATAATTTCCCCTCATGTTTTAGTGCAATTTGAAAAATCACTATTTTACAGTTCATTTTTAGTTTATATATATATATATATAGTAATTTTGTTACTGCAGAAGTCTAATTTCCCCTCATGTTTTCAGGGTAACTTGAAAAATCACCTGTATTATATAGATATTGAAAAAAAAAAAATAGAGGTATTTAATATATGTCTTGCTTTTGTTTTATATAGATATATTTTGTAATTTTGTTACTGCAGAAGTCTAATTTCCCCTCATGTTTTCAGGGTGACTTGAAAAATCACCTGTATTATATAGATATAAAAAAAAAATATAGAGGTATTTAATATATGTCTTGCTTTTGTTTTATACAGATATTTTTTTGTATTTTTGTTACCCCAGAAATGTAATTTCCCCTCATGTTTCCAGTGTAAATTTAAAAATCACCTGTAATATATATACAAATAATGATATATATTCATATATTATATATATATTAATATATATCTCACTTTTGTCTTATCCATATATTTTGTATTTTTACTACTCCAGAAGTGGAATTTTCTCTTGTGTTTTCAGTGCAATTTGAAAAATCACTTGTATTACAGCTCACTTTTGTTTTATATATATATATTTTGTATTTTTATCATTTTAGAACGATCATTTTCCCTCATGATAAAGTGTAACTGGAAAAATCACCTATATTATTCCTCACTTTTATTTTATATACACTTGCTATACTTTCATTATTCCAGAAGTATAATTTTCCCTCATGACATAGAAATTGTAGAAATAATGCCCAAGTTAACTAAGTGTAACTATACATATAAATGTATCTATATAAGTATAAATAAATATAGATATGTGTATATATATATACACACACAGAGGTATATATAATTTTTTAATGAGTATTGGTTTATTTAATGCACTTGCTTTTTGCCATGGTAAATATCACATAATTCTAGATAAAATATTCTGTATAAAATATTTTTCACCCCTGAGTTTTATTTACTGTAAATTGCCCCAAATCTATAAAAGAACCTGCAAATTAAAAAAAAAAAATTAAAAAAAAAAAATTTAAAATGGAAATCAATCCACAAAACAATTTAATAATTTATTGGATTTTTAACATTTCTTAATTGCATATTTTCAATCACAGCCATTACACAATTAAATGACAGAACCAACACATGATCCATTTAAAAATCAGTTTTTAATTAAGGGAAGATACCCAAAAGGTGCTTTGTATTTTGGATGCAGATTATATGAAAGTATTTCCTGCATCCAAATATATATGAATATATTTCAAAATTTACTCAGGGATTCACTGATGTCCCTGTAGAAGAAAACAGCATTTTTATCTCCTCTAATTTGATATATCAGCTTAAATTATTTCAAATAATCACTTCTATATTTGTACATATTTTTCTTTTTGATTCTCTCCCATTTTGACAATTTTCATCCTGCTGTATTTAAAAAAGATTTGTAATTTTATCGTACTACACAGAGTGAGGTGTATTTATAAATAATATAATATTTTCTTGAAAAATGAAAGATTTCTAATTCCATTTTTGGGCTTTCAGGGTAAAATTCCAGAATTTCAGGATATCTAATACATTTTTGAATCAGGTAGTTAAAGTGGAACCAGAACTCACCTTATATCTGCAATCTTCCCCTGCAGACAGGATCAGATCATTCACTGAATTCCAGTCAGTTTTCAAAATCAGGCCATCGTGGGCTTTCCACTGAAAGGAAAAAAATCAGTTCAACAATTGTGACAACTCCTATTTTTAATATTCATCACTCACTGGACTTGATGATCTGGAGGTTTGTTCCAACCTTAATAATTTTATGATTTAGCAGAAAAATAAATTAAATAAAGCCTGAACAAGGCAGAATCAAAGCACAAAAATCTGCCATAAAATCCTCCACCCAAAAATCCATTACAATTTTTAATCCAAAAAAATTAAAATTCAATAACTGCTTCTTAATAAGACAAAAGGGAAAAGGCTTCTGTATCTTTATTTCTGTAAATAAATCTTATTAATGACTCAGATTATGAATGGTACCTGCAGAACTTTAGCATTTGGCTGGAGGGGTTTAATGATCAGCTGCTGCCCTGAGGTGTAGAGAACTTTGTCAGAGTCAGGGGCCCAGGACACTGAGTACACTGGAGTTCCTGTGGGCATGGAAAAACACTCTATTTTTAATAGATAAATAATAATATTGATGGTAAGATACAATTGTGCATAATAAATAAAATACATCATTATATGTAATATATATATAAATATTTAAGTACATAAAATACATCATTCTTGCATAAAATATATTAAATTTATATTACATAAATAGCTATGTAGATAACACTATTATATAAATGTACATTACACATTTCTCAAGCCTCTTTATTTACCACATTAACAATTCCTAAAGCTTTTACAAGTGAAAGGTTTTAAGTCCACAAGACTTACAGGAAATAGCTACATTTTATATCTACATTCAGATTTTATCCAGTGATACAATTTAGTCCCAACTGTCACTCCAGAAATACAGAAAATCAAAATAATACTCACCAACAGACTTCAGAAAATAAACCTTTTAACCCCAAATTATGAGGCTGAACACAAAAATGGGTGGAAAAAGTTTTGTGTTGCACCTAAATTATTCTTTTTTAGATCTTTGAGCTCTGTAATTAACACAGATTTTTGTTTTGCTGCACAAACATCCCATTCACAAGTAACTTCCAAAATAAATGACAATAAATCCAACTGGCCACAGGCTGGACAGATTTTTCCCAATTAACTGAAACTTTCTTAGACTGAAACTCTCAGAATTTTGTATCTGGAATAAAACTGACTGTTCCATTTTAAAATCATGTTCCAGTTTTCAAATGAGATTTTTTGAAAACAGAATAAAGCAAAAATTACATGGAAAAACATCCAAGGAAAAAAAAAGAATTTAAAAAAGTCAGACTTGCCAACCATGCAAATATTTTCCATATTATTTGACAAGATTTGTCTCCTCTGAAGAAAAATCAAAGGATTTTGCTACTTGATTCCTTGAAATAAAAAGAAGAAAGTTAAGTAAAAAGCTTCTCCAAGTATTAAACTCAGCAACTGATTTAAAATTGTTCAAATAAACAATTTTAATGTAACTTTATGGTAATAAAAAACACCAAAAGCCTTAAAAATGCTCTTACAGGGTAAAATTCTCAGTGACAATTTTGGCATATTAAATTCTATTTCCAAAAATGACTCAGGAATATTTTTGTATGGGAATATTTTGATGAGATTTAGATAATTGACTGATCTGCCCTAAAATCATCCACTATCTCCCACTTCTCCCTGTGCAAAAAGCTGATTTTATTGTGGTTAAACTCCATCTGAGCTCCCAAATATTCACCCTCAAAATTCAGACCTGGTGTCGTTGCTCCTGAAGATTTCTGTATTTCACAGATTTTCTTTCAGGGAATTTTATTCCTTAAAAATCCAGGATTATGGCAGATTTTTTAAACTTGTCAACCATCAGAGCAGACGAGTCCCAGAAACACAACATATATTAAATAAACGTGGCTCTGGCTGTTTTCCTCCTGGCAATTCCTGGTGAAAATGCCATAAATTCTGTCCCCAGCTGGAGCAGAAATTCTAAATAAACTCCTTTTTTTTTTGTCCTTTCCTAATGCTGATCTAACAATCAGAGGAGTTTTCTATTTAAACCAAATGTTTGCCTTTTTTATGATGGCTGAGGACTTAACCACAATTTCCAGGGCTTAACAGCAGGAGCTGAGTTAACTCATTTCCTCCTGCACTTAACAAGGGCTGCCTTGGGAAAACGCTGCCAACACCCTGGAAAACCCAGAGGAACAGCCCCACTGCAGGGAGAAACAGGAATATTCTGGGAAAAAAGGAGGCAAAAAGGCAGAAAATTGGGATTTCAGGAAGGAAGGTCTGGCTTATCCCACAGCGCACTTGGTAATTGCAAGAGTTTTGTGGGATTTTGGATTGTCACAGGAGGAGAAACTTTAATTTAAATAATTTTTTTTAGATCTTGGGAGGGTGTTTCCAAAAGAATATAGGTATCAGGAATGAATTCCTCTCTGGGGAGGGCTGGGATGGAATTCCCAGGATACCTGGAAGTGCTCAAGACAGGTCTGGGATAGAGGGAGGTGCCCCTGCCATGTGGGGATGGGCTTCAAGGTGCTTCCAACCCAAACCATTCCAGGATTCCATGCTAATCTTGTGGGTTCTCAACACATCATCTAAGAAATCCATGGAAAAAAAGGTTTCCTCATCAAAATGGATCAGTGGAAGCCCAAACACAACATTTCAGTGTAAGGAGAAGGAGGAACAAAAAGAATTTTAAGGGAATCTAAGGAGGAATAAAGGCCAAAGACAGAACAGGCACGTGGATCATCATCCCAAAATACCAGCCTGAAAATTTATCTCTAACACAAAGAGTGGGATGAGGCAAAGGAATGTTGGCAGTGGGAATTTCTTCAGTTCTTGTTATAATAAAGGAAGGAAAAATGGTTGAACAATCCTGTCCTGACCCCAGGTGTGGCCATGCTTAGCACAGGGACTGTGGGGTTCTGACTCTGACTTTAAAGGATTTCAGGGCCTCACAAGATTTAAAGTTGAAAACACAAACACAAGGTGACAGTTACTCCATGGGGACCCAACTGTGCTTTTGTACTGCACCAGAAACTTGCAGAAACCCATGAAAATTCATATTTCAAAGGACAGCATGGAATTTACTTGATTTGCTTTTTCTAACCTCAAATAAGCAAAATAACGCCTAAGAAACCTGACAACATAAACTGAGAAATGTTAAAGAATATGTGCTTCAGTTTGAATATTTTTTTTTACATTCTGGTTCAGTTGGTTTATCTTTTTACCTGACAAACATTGCATGTGCACGTGAACTTCCTTAAAAGAACTGCAATGCATTTTAGATTCAGTGCTGTGGTTAAAATGCCTTCCCCGGGTTGAAAGCATTCAGATCATTTGTTTCAGACAGAGATAAGGGCCTGACATTTAACCCAAGCCCAGGTGCATGTGGTTTCTTCAAAAATGTCACAAGGTCACACGGGCTCCATCTATGAAGTCTGAAAAACAAATTTTAGCTGAGGATCTTCACTGAAATGGCACCAAATCCTCAGCGTGGGATGAGACTGCTGCCTAAAAATATTTCAGCACTTTGAATTTGAAAAATGAAATACTGTTTAAAAATCATACTAAAATGCAACTCTGATTTACATTTACAATTAATTAAGGCTTTAACACCCTGGAATAAACCATCACTGCCATATTCAGGGTCTGTTATTGAAATATATCTCAGAACAACCCAAATGAACAAGTTGTGATGGAGCTTTGAGCAAAGAACTCACCTTGCTGAGCCAAGGTGGATCTCAGCATTCCACTTTTAGACCAGATTTTCACTTGGCCATCTTCCCCAACTGCAAATGAGCACAGAAATCAGCAATGTTCAGCCTAACAAATGTATTTGTATTTACTCAGGAAACACTGGAGTTAAAATAAAGCCAGCTTTTCTTACAGGTGAATTCCTTTTGTTCAGTCTTCCAAACATGCAATAGGAAGTATATGAAGGAAAAATATTTAAGATGGTTCTTTTTTTATTATCAAGAAATTTTCCTTTCCTGAAAATCCCTGAACTCTTTCCTGAAGCTGGTCCTAGGAAGGGAAAATCCATCATTATTTAAGCATCCCAAATTCTGTATTTGTGATTCCTTCAGTGGCCCAGAGCTGCTTAGAGGAGTCTGAGAAGGCCCAGGGGAGCAGGAGCAGATTTGAAGGATTCAACAGGAGATTTCACAGCTGATAAATGGGAGAAGTGAAGGGAACTCTGCTTGGATGGCTTTAATTTTCTACCATAACTGTGTGTTACCAAATAACTCAGTTTATTTACTGAGGAATTCATTGCTAAACTACACAGCACAGCTAGGGAATTGTACACCACAATTCCTGGTGTGGTGTCATTTTAAAAATGCTCTGGTCCTTCAGTTTAGGCCTCCCAGATGCAATTAATGAGGAAAAAGAAATTAATGGATTCTTCCATTCAAATATAATTTATTTACCACATTTCAGGTTTTTCTATCTAGCCAATGTTGTTTTAAACGTTTTAAAGAAGATGTTAAACAAACCCACTCAAACTTAAAAATCTTATTTGTGCACATTTGATGCTGTTGAAATAGAACCATAAAAATATTTGAAGTGGTGCAGTAGCAATGATTTATTTCTTCTTCCTCCAAGTACAGCTGTGGCATAAGAGGAGTTGATCTCCTCAGAATAAACTGGAAGTGGTGATGAATTCCCACACTCCCCAAAAAGTGTCAGTGTCATGCAGTCTCATAAAAAAAAAAAAAAAAGGGATTCAAAAGACAATTTTGACTTTGTCTTTGGAGAAGTTCCTGAGGCAAAGCTGTCTTTAAAAAGAACAATATTTCCATCCCTCTGGGATTTCAGAGGAACAGGCCAGACAGAGTTCCTTGAAGCAGCATTTCAGAGTCTGGAAATGAGCAGATCCAAAATTATCTTCAGTTCTTGTGGCCTGAGCTGGAAGTTGTCCAGAGGAATCAGCTGTGCTCCATCAGCAGGAGGCTGACACCACCAGAAACCCCAGCACAGGCAACTTCAGCAGTTCCCCTCAAAACCCAGATAGAATTTGGGACAAAAACTACCAAAAGCAACTCATTTACTAAAGATTTAGGACAAAAAATGGTGTAGAAATGAAGAAATTCTGGGCTCACTCCCCTAGCATGAATATAAACAGGCTGTAGGTGATAATTACTGATAATTAAGGAATAAAGCACAGGAATATTCAAGATCAATGAGCCTTTTTGGCTAAAAAACCCCAAATGTGCAGGGATATAAATGTACCAACTTAGCAACTTTTTCTTGTAACAGACAGAAAAGAAAGAAATCAAATATTCTCCTTTCTGAAGTTCAGAACAGCCACAAAACCATCTAAGCTCTCTGATATTAAAACACTTTCAATTGGATTGGATGACTTAAATGAAAAAGAGAAATATTTTTACTAGATCTGTTAATTAAAATGGACAACACTAAGCTAAAACAGCATTAATTAAACAGTGCAAAATGAACTCCTAGTAAACAAGGTGGTAACAACCTCTGTGATAAATAAGACCCAAAAAAGCAGATTATTATTTTAAGTTTTCAAAGCCCTTTATTAATTTAGGAATGCTCACCTGTAACCAGGGCTGTTCCCTCATAATTCCACCTTCCTGCAAGGACAGCTCCACAATGTGCTTCTACACTTTTCTCCACTCTTCCTAGCTTGGAAATCAAGTGGAATTTCCCTAAAAAAATATATATAACATATAGAATTTACAGAATTATAGATAATTAATTATCCAGTAAATTATTATTAAATTACATTATTAATTACATTCTATATTGTTACAGAAGTGCTGGTACCTCCTGTGGAAAACACACAAACCAAGAAAGCAGGAATACAAAGAGAACATCCAGTTGTTTTTCACAGCTCAAATCAGAACTATTCCTGCTCCCATGCTGGAGCTGGGATGGAATTCCACAGCAGCCAACCCCAAAGTTTGTAATGACTTCAACAGAAGGATCAGGAAGTTTTTCTTCCCAAATAAGGGATGCTGCTTAAATCCAGGAAGATCAAATTTAAACTGGAGCAAAGAGCAGACAATGGAGGCCTTGGAAAAATGAGCAGTCCAGTAATAGCAATGAACTACTTTAAATCAAATTATTTTTGGTATTATTTGATCTAAGCTGCCAGACTGAAGCAAGGGAGTTCCTGAGTGACCAGAACTTTGGCACAATCACCCAGCCAAATCTCTGCCAGTGCAAAATTTCCAAGGAAAAGACTTCTAACACTGATCAAAAACTATGGTTTGGATAAATCAGTTTATTTGAACAGATGATTTAAAATTCCATGGAATCCCAGACTGGTCTGGGCTGGGAGGGACCTTAAATCCCAGTGGGCAGAACACCTTTCATAGATCCAGCTGCTCCAAGCCCTCTCCAACACTTCCAAGGTGTTCATTTAATGCATTCCATTATTTTGTAATTATAAAATAGAATTTATCTCATAAATGTATCACTTATTGTATAGAACACCTCTCAGGTCTGAGCTTTTCCTGTTCCATGTAAAAGCAAAAGCTGGATTTAGAGGAATTCAATGTTAATTGCTCCAATTCAATTACCAAAATGGCCTTTTCTGCTTTTACATTAAAAACACCTTTTATTTTCTGATAAATAAACATTTTCTGCACCTTTTTTTCATGCAGGATCTTTGGTTTAAGGATTCTCCAATGAAAAGGTCTTGGAGACAGGTGGAATAATCTCCCAGGAGCAGGAATATTCCCATGCCATCACCTACAGGACCCAGCATGGAGTGGCTGAGCTCTTCAGAGCCATGGCTTTTTTCAGGATATACAGAATTCCATGGGATTTTATATCTTGGAACAGCTCCCACTGACCTAAGCAGAACCCCTGAATATTTCTGTGAGCAATTCCTCCACTCATAAGAGATAAATGAGATTCCAGTGGAAGCTCAAGCAGCTGGGAAGGAACTGAAGGACTTGGTGAAGTCAAAATATCAGGAAAATGAGCAATGTCAAAGTATCAGATAAAATCCTGCTATCCAGGGAAAGCTCCACTATTTCCCCCATCTTTTGCATCCTCTCCCACTCCACAAGCTCCTACTGCTCTCACAAGGCCCCTTCCAAAGAGGGAAGCAGAGGAAATTGTAGCTGAGCAGGGAAGAACATGGTTACATGTAAAAGCAGGATCAACTTTCCAGAATTCCTCTGGAAAAAATGTGATCATCACTTAAAACTGTATCCTAATCCTGCTGCAGAACAGGGGAGATCAAGTTTTCAGGGACAGCAGCTTTACTTCTGCAGCTTCTTTGCTTTTCCAACAGGGGAATTCACAACTGCTGCCACTCAAATGCTTTTTCCATGGCATTCCCACAGGGAGGTTTCTCCATTCCCATGGATTTCTGTTCAACTGAGGCAAAAGAGACTTTCAAATCACAACTTACTACACAAAAAAAAAAAAAAAAAAAAAAAAAAAAAAAAAAAAAAAAAAAAAAAGAGAAAATTTCAGCCAAAATGCCTGGAGTAGGTAGAAGTGATTCAGCTTAATCTCTGGACCTTTATTTTATTAAGTACTGAAGCCAGAACTGTCCTCAACCTGAAAATGACTCCCCAGCTTTGAAGGAATGTCCAGAGGGAGACTCCCAGCCTATCCAAACACAGAATATAAAACATGTATGTTTTGTTCATTAACTTCCATGGACTCTTAAATGCTGACCTAATACAAAATTGTCAATAAAAAAAATGAAAAAAAAAAAAAAAAGGTCAAATCACTTAGGATTTGTCCTTAATTTGGAGGTTAAAGCCAAAAATATTCTTCATTTTTGTAAAAAATAGCAACAAGACCAATGTCAGTAGGAAATAAAAGAACAATATCCCCCAAGAGACAAATTTCAGAAAAAAACCCAAGGGGACTAAATTTACATTTGCTCTGCTTTCAAACATCTGCAGTTCAACTAGGAATTAATGCAGCCCTGTCAGGACATAATGCTGCTTTTCCATTGGATTCAGCAAGTTCCAGGAATCCTTAGCACACAGGGGAGATGGCTGGGGCAGGAAAATTCATGCAGGTAGAAAAATCTGGCTGGGTACAAAATCTTTTTGGGGAGAAGGGGGAAAAAAACCCCCAAGGGAAAAATCTTTTTGAGGACAAGGGGGAAAAAAAATCCCAAGGGAAAAATCTTTTTGAGGACAAGGGGGAAAAAAAATCCCAAGGGAAAAATCTTTTTGAGGACAAGGGGGAAAAAAAATCCCAAGGGAAAAATCTTTTTGAGGACAAGGGGGAAAAAAAATCCCAAGGGAAAAATCTTTTTGAGGACAAGGGGGAAAAAAAATCCCAAGGGAAAAATCTTTTTGAGGACAAGGGGGAAAAAAAATCCCAAGGGAAAAATCTTTTTGAGGACAAGGGGGAAAAAAAATCCCAAGGGAAAAATCTTTTTGAGGACAAGGGGGAAAAAAAACCCCAAGGGAAAAATCTTTTTGGGGGGAAGGGGGGAAAAAAACCCCAAGGGAAAAATCTTTTTGGGGAGAAGGGGGAAAAAAAACCCCAAGGGAAAAATCTTTTTGGGGAGAAGGGAAAAAAAATCCCAAGCAATCCTCAAAGCTTCTTGCTCCTCAAATAATGCCTTGTATTTGACTGACACGAGCACTCAAGGGTACGAAACAACAAATACTTCAAAAATCTATTTGCAATTTATTATTTTTAAACTTTTTTAAGCTGCCTTACCATCAGAGCTCGTCAGGACAAAGTTCTCAGCCTGGGATTGCTTCTTGCCACCGATGCCTCTGGGAAAGCAGTGCAGATCTATGGGATAAACATCACCTGGCAGCTTCAGCACTCGGGTGGTCTCGCTGCTCACGGGGCTCCACCTCATGAGCTGGTGGTCGTCCCCACACGAGTAGAGCTCGTCAGCTGTCGTCCAGCCCACACAGCTCACCAGGTCCTTATGTGCCACTCACTTAAGGAATCTGAGAAGTTTAGCCATTAAAAATAATCCAACACCCCTTCTTGAAGGGATAATACAGGAAGATTATTTTTGCTCTTACGTGCCAAGAAGAGTTGGTAAAAATTCAGCCAAAAACGAAGCAAATTTTCATTTCATGAAATGAAAATATTCCATAAAAATAAAATTCTTATCATGATGTAAAGTTATGGAAACGTGGCTAAAATGTTGGGTTAGTGAAGGGTCTTAGTGCAAAATACAAGTGCAAAACATCCAACATTCATTAAAAATTGCTGGTTTATTAACACCACATCATATATAAGCATTCAGTATCTCTTAAAACATTGTCCTTAAAGGCTGCACTCAATGACAAGGGGAACAAAAGAAAAACAGGGAAAAAAGTCGTCTGCAATTTACTAATATTTTACTGAAACTTCAACAACAAAAAAATTTTGTCTGGGAGAGTCTATTCAGAATGAACACGATGTTCCATGGTTTTTACTGTGACAAAGGATATGTTTTGGCTCCTTTAAAAGGGAAGTCTTCAGTCTCATCTCAGTTGTTCAGATGGAGCATTAAAACCATGTGTTATAACTGCAATAAAAGAAAACAAATACATCTATAAGTATGGATAATTAACATAATATATATGCATACACAAGCAGCTAAAATTAAAATGGAAGATACACTAAAATTAAAAGTTCTGAAGTAATACTACATCACTAGTGGGGAAAAACAAGCACCAAGAAATACCTGAGTTTAAAGAGAATTCTGTTTTCACGTTATCCAACTGAATATGGACAACTTGAAGAAGAAACGATGCTGTGAACAGTGAATCCTTAAGGTTGGAAAAGACCTTTAAGATCAAGCCTGAGACATCAGAGGTTGGGAGCACTGGAGATCCCTTGTGCTGACACACAGCCAGGAAGGGAAAACATGATCTTTGCCTTTCCAAGCCCAGAACTTTATTACAAATTTTAATGCATTTTAATCGCTCTGTATGTGCTACTAAAAGGCTGAACGCCCACCCTGGGCCATCCACAGGTACATCCATCACTGCCAGCCCACGTATTCCCTCCGTCCCAAGGAATCCAGCAGGGCTCCGCTGGAGTTTTAGGAGAGATGTGGCAATAATTACAAGCAGGAATTATCGGGACTCGGAGAAGCCAAAGTGCCCGACGCCTCCTCCTCCCTTTGCCATCCGGAGATGAGGATCGGGAACGGCGGAGGGGAGCGGGATGGGGGAGCAGGGAATGCCAGAGGGAAGGATGGAGCAGCGCCGGGAAGGAAAACCAGCGGGCGGGATAGGGAAGGCAGCGGGAAGGGATGGGGGCAGAGCAGGGAAGGGCAGGAATGCCACAGCAGGATGGGGGGAAAGCCGAGAAGGAAAAGCAGCCGGCGGAATGCGGGGCACGGAGAAGGAGACACCAAACCCCCGGGGCAGCCTCGGCCACCACCCGCTGCTCCCTCCCTTTCCAGCTTTCCAAGAAGCCATTACCCAACCCCTGCTGAGGGTCGGGGCTCCCCCGCCCTGCCCTCAGCTGTCCCCCGGAGCTTTCCCTCCCCTCCATCCGCCCGTCCCACGCCCAGCCGGGGTCACGGCTCCCGACCCTCTCGCCCACCGCGGCGGTGACTCAGCCGAGGGGAGGGGGCCGGCGGCCGCCGCCTCCCCAGCGCGCCTTTACCTGCGCGGGCAGCGGAGGGAGCGCGCAGAGCGGCGGCTGGAGCCCGCTCCCGGCGGAGCCCGGGACGATCCCGCTCCCGGCCGATCCCGGGATGATCCCACCTGCTGCTCCCCGCCGATCCCGCCTCCCGGTCCCGCTCCCGTCGCCTCAGGAGCGGCGGCTCCCGCTCCCCCCCGCCGCCAAGCGCCGCCGTCGCTATGGCGACTTCTCGCGAGACCTCATCCTCTTCATCCTCCTCCTCCGCCACCTCACGGGTCCCCCCCCGGCCCCCCCAAGGTGCCACGGCGCCGCCCGTTAATTAATTAAACCGGCTTCAAAATTGCCGCGCCCTCACAATTTTTAAATTTTTTTTCACTAGAAATTTTTTTTTTTTTTTTTTAATTTTAAACCAGCGCGCGTCGCCCAGCAACCAAGCACCGCCCACTGACCTACTTCTAAAATTAAAATTAACCCTTTTTTCCGCCGGCACGGCCGCAAGGCTGTGTTACCGCACCGCCCTCACCCCCTAATGTCTCCCAGCCCTCCGTCTCTGCCCAGAAAAAGCCGCTCCCGGCGGATTTCTGCGCGCTTTCCCCTCCCTGCTGTAACGAACACAAGATGGCGGGCGGGGGCGGCGGTGCCGTTCAAACCCGCGGGCCCGGCCCCTCCCGTCCCAGCCTGCCCCGCGCTTTTCTAACGAATTTCGGTTCGAGTTCGCCGTTTCGGCGCCATTTTCGAGTGTGGAAGCGGCCGAGCTTCTACAGCAGCCGGAGCCGCCCTCCCCCCCGCCGCCAAGCGCCGCCGTCGCTATGGCGACTTCTCGCGAGACCTCATCCTCTTCATCCTCCTCCTCCGCCACCTCACGGGTCCCCCCCGGCCCCCCCAAGGTGCCACGGCGCCGCCCGTTAATTAATTAAACCCGCTTCAAAATTGCCGCGCTCTCACAATTTTTAAATTTTTTTTTTCACTAGGAATTTTTTTTTATTATTTTTTTTATTAATTTTAAACCAGCGCGCGTCGCCCAGCAACCAAGCACCGCCCACTGACCTACTTCTAAAATTAAAATTAACCCTTTTTTCCGCCGGCACGGCCGCAAGGCTGTGTTACCGCACCGCCCTCACCCCCTAATGTCTCCCAGCCCTCCGTCTCTGCCCAGAAAAAGCCGCTCCCGGCGGATTTCTGCGCGCTTTCCCCTCCCTGCTGTAACGAACACAAGATGGCGGGCGGGGGCGGCGGTGCCGTTCAAACCCGCGGGCCCGGCCCCTCCCGTCCCAGCCTGCCCCGCGCTTTTCTAACGAATTTCGGTTCGAGTTCGCCGTTTCGGCGCCATTTTCGAGTGTGGAAGCGGCCGAGCTTCTACAGCAGCCGGAGCCGCCCGCGCTGCCGCCGCCTCGCCGGGGCACGGAGCCGCCGGGACGAGCAGGTACGAGCTCGGCGGGAGGAAGCGATGGCGGTTCGCCTCAGGGCGGTGGGGTGGGGGGGCTTCGCGGCGGAGGAGGTGCCCTCAGGGGGCTGCCCCGGGCAGGGGGTGCCGAGGGGACGGTGCTGACGGCGAAAGAAGAGATGCTGGGAGAGCTGAGGGGAGACAAGGGATGCTGAGGTGGAGATTAGGACTTTTGAGGGGAAGGTGCTAATGGGGAGACAAGTGATGTTGAAGGGAAGGTGCTGAAGGGGAGACAGGAGGCGCTGAGGGGGAAGGTGGGGTGCGCTGAGGGGATGGCAGGAGGTGCTGGGGGATCGGCGGGTTCTGCCCCGCGCCTCATTTCCCCGCTTCCCCCCTCGCCCGGAGGGAGCAGAAGCGGCGGCAGCGCCTCTCCCCGGGCCGGGCTGCCCCGCTGAGGGTCCCCGTGAGGGCTCCGCGCCCGGCGGGTCCGTCCCGGCTGCTGTCGGCTCGGAGCTTTGAGGAGCGGCTCCCCGGGGGGCTGTGCAGCCCAAGGGCTCCCGCCGTGCCCTGAGGGACCCCCGCGGACCGCGGCTCGGAGGACGGGGAAGTTCAGGGACGCGTTTGGGTAGCGATTTTCATCTGCTTGGAGCAGGGACCTTTCTCGCCCCGGCTCTGCCTGCTGCTTTGATGCTTGAAGGGTGAGAGAAAAATCCCAAGAAAGTTCTTAATGATTGGCTATTCGCTTAAAAGAGCTGGACTCGATGATCCCCCGTGGGTCCTTTCCAACTCGGAATATTCTGGGAGCCTGTGACTTGGAAAGAGCGTGACAAGGGTGCAGTCTGGCTCCTTAGGCTTTTAAAAAAGCCCCAGATTTGTCACTGACAGGGCTTGTCTCTGTCACATTTAATCGGCTGTTAATAAGGAAGCTTTTCTGTCCGTCTCCGGCTCTTTTTTTCGCCATCCCCGTGAGGAAAACAGCGCTTGGCAGGAGAGATGCTTTTACCGAACACCTTCGAGCTGGCTCGGGGGAGGGGCCGGGCACGAATTTGTTAAATTTGTTAGAGACTATGTGGCAGCTGATTTATCGCGATTTAAAAGCTGAGGTCAAGTAGTTCGGCTCGTTCGTTCTGGTGAAGTGTCCGAGGGGGGGAAGGGTTGGGAAGGTAAATAGGTCTATATTGCACAATTCTGTTGGAGTGGAGCAGTTCGGGGAAAAAAAAAAATAAAAATAAATGTGCTTTGAGAGGCTGTAATTGTCTGCGACAGCCATTGCGGAACAGCTCTGAACGGGGGCATAGACTGAAATTGCCTGAAAATGAGTTCTGTCTCTCATTTCCCCCCCTCCCCCATTGTCCCAAATGAAGGACTCTCAGGAGAGTGTGGGCTGGGGGTAGGTCTGAAAACGTCAAATGATTGGCACCAATTGTAAGATGACTTTCTAACCACGTCAGTTTTTTATCTTGTGAGAAGTAAACTTTCTCATGTCTGTTTTTCTGCGAACTCACTTCGCCACTTGCTGCGATTTCAACTCTTTGGGGAGAGTTTCGCTCCTTTTCTTCTCCTCGGGTGCTTTCTCTTCACCCGTTCGGGGAGCTGTGCTCGAGTGCCAGCTGACGGCTTTTGTAATGCTCGTCCTTGCTCAGATCACTTTAACATCCCGGCTAGATGAAGGTATTTCGTTTTTGCTTTCTCTCTGAAACGCTGAAAGCTGGCAGGAGGGGTTGTGTGGTATTTTGTGAGCAGAGTGTGTCGATTTAAATGATTTAAGAATGAAATCTTTGCTATGATCATGCAGGGCTTTTGTTTCTTTATCTGTTTGTCAATCTCTCTATATCCATCCGAATATTTAGCACGGATTATTGAAAGTAAAACGAGTGTCAGGTCTGAAATATAACGAGTTCTTCCAGGAGAGTATAGACATGTGGCTCCTGGGCTTGTTATTCAATGTGTCTTTAACTCTTTTGCCCCCAGCACCAGGGTGGCTTTCAGGGAGCAAAGTCACTGCCCTGACATGTCCCCGCGGGCTGGCAGCAGGTAGATCCACGCTGTTAAAACAGATTAGGCTCAGCCCCTCGTTTTGGGGGCGATGTATCTTAAAATATATCATTATGAAGCTAACCTCGATATTTTGTTTCCAATTTGGATTTTTGTCTTCTAAATGCCTCCAGCCTTAAGTTTCTAAATGAGTCAAGCATCTGGGCAGAGGTGTAGGTGAATTCCTCGCGGGCTGTAGCTCGGTGCTGAGATCACGGGGTTCTCTTGTTTGTGTTAGCAAAGGAGATAGAGCCCTTCAGTTGTTTGATTGCTCGGCATGGAAGGGGAGCAGCCAACAGGGACCGTGCCAGGCAAGAGCACCAAAACCTCCACTGCAGCCCGTGGGAAGGGCAGGGAGCCCTTGGAGGAGTCCTCCATGGACATGGAAGTGGA